AACGTGTTATGAAACAATAAAAGAAGAAGAACAATATTGCAGAGAAAGAGAGAGAGGAAATTCTTATTAAATTTTTTGGGATGAATTACAATGGAATAGAACCCTCTATTTATAGGGAGAGGTTGACTTAGCCACCAAGTAATAAACCCTAGAATCTCTCTAAATATGGACATTCACCATAAATAGAATTCTATTTATAACACATACCATGTTTTATGTTTACCATATTCAGATCTAGCACTTGTAGGATTACAAACTTTGATCTTGGCCTGGCCCGCCTGAATATAGGGTATATATATATACAAGTGTTTTATGTCTTCAGTCATTTTCACTCTCAAGATTCTGTCAAATGTGATTGAATGATAAGCTTAGTTTTAGCAGTATCCTACCTTCTCATTTCTCGCAAGAATGCCAGCCAATATTAGAGAATAACTAGTTATTTGAAGACATAATTTATTATAGTTGCATTAAATCACTATAGTTGCAAGAATGCCAGCCAATATTTGACTTGTTCTATTGATTAACTTGTGGTGTCTTTGAAAGTTATTGGCACCATATTTTCTGTAGGTGACTAATCTAGTTGAATAGCTTCTTGGGAACACTAATTCCCCAATGTGACATATTTTCTCGCCTACTTCATGATGTTCCAATAGTCTCTGAGAAAGAAAAGTAGGGGAATAAATGAGAAACCTTCATTGCTTCTTGCAACTAAATTTAGAGTGACGTTTAGGAAATCTACATTTTTCTTTGTTTTTTATTATTCCTTGGCCAATTACAGGAAGGCCGATCAGAAAAAATTTGTGATGTCTTTTTATTTAGGTTTATAATACAATAATTGTGAATTTGAAGATAATCAAAGAGAATTTGGGTTTCCATTATGTGGAAAACCCTAAGTCAATGTAAACGAGAGAAGAAACCAGAAATGAAAAATATTTGTATATTGAAATATAATTGCTCAACTGTACAAATTAGTCTATCAACATCTATATATACAAATAAACAATAATGAATGGCTATGTAATGTAAAGTGGTTATCTATACAACAAATTTACAAGGCATATGTTACTAGTATCTGACTAGTGGGCCTGGATCTATTTTTATTGGGCCTGGAGTGCTTGGGCCATCTATTCCAACACCCCCCTCAAGCTCGAGGGTGACAGAACACCCAGCTTGCAGAGAAGATGCTGATGTTGAATACCAGTGAGAGTTTTAGTGAAAATGTCAGCAAGTTGAGATTGAGTTGGAGCATACTGCAAAGAAATCAGGCTTGACAATCAAGCTCAATATGCTTGGTCCTCTCATGAGATACAGGGTTCTTGGCAATGCTGATAGCTGATATATTATCACAATCGAGAGGAATAGGAGCAGAAATAGTGAGACCCAAGTCAGCCAGAAGTCGCACTAGCCAAGTAAGCTCAGCCGCAGTCTTCCTTAAAGCCATGTACTCAGCCTCTGCAGATAACAAGGAGACTGTGGGATAATTCTTAGACTTCCAATAAATAAGGCTGCCCCAAGAGTGAAAAAATAGCCACTAATAGATTTTCTAGAAGTGGGACAACCTGCCCAGAATCTGAAAATGCTTGAAGAGAAAAATCCTGAGTTCCGTTGAAGAAGATGCCTCTGTCAGGGTCTTTGACCAAATATCTTAGGACATGAAGAGCAGCATGCAGGTGAGCAGTTCTGGGAGCATTGAGGAGCTGACTAAGATGCTGAACTGAGAAGGAAATGTCGGGCCTAGTATGGTGCAAAAAAATTGAGCTTGCCTATCAGCCTTCTATAGGGATAAGGATCAACCTAGGCATCACCAGAAGTGGGGGTAAGCTTAATAGACAAATCCAAAGGTATCACCACAGGTGAGGTAGAAGAGCAATGAAATTCTGATAGGAGCTCTTTAAGGTACTTATGTTGATTGACAAGCAGACCATGAGGCATGTGAGACACTTCAAGACCTAGGAAATAATGTAGAGCCCCAATATCCATGATCTTGAATTGTTGATCCAAAAATACTTTGAGAGAAGTCAACTCAGAATCATCATTCCCGGTCAATAAGATGTCATCCACATATACATCAATAAGAACAGTGGAAGATCCAGTGAATTTGGTGAATAAGTAATAGTCATTAAGGCTGGAGGAGTAACCCCTGGAGATAAGAGCATGAGATAACTTGGAAAACCAATTGCCTGGAGGCCTGTTTAAGGCCCTAGATCTCAAAGAGAAAGATAAATCTATTTCATCTGTAACTACAAGATAGGACCTTATATCTGCCTATGATAGTGAGCCTCGAACCTTACTCTATTTCATACAAAGACTTCTTCAGCTTATAAACAAGTGGAGGACAAGAAGAGGAGGAAGAAATTGTAAGACCAAGAGGAAATTTCATGTAAACCTCTTCAGAAAGATCCCCATGCAAAAATACATTATTGACATCAAGTTGATAGAGAGTCCAAGAATGCTTGGCAGCCAGAACAAGCAAACACTTAATGGTAGTGAATTTGAAAATAGGAGAAAAAGTCTCAAAGTAATTTATGTCAGCCTGTTGAGTGTCCCCCATGATTACCAACCTAGCTTTGTACCTTTCAATGCTACTATCTGAGTGTTGCTTAATTTTATATACTCATTTGCAAGGAATGACCTTTTTACTAGGAGGCAAATAGACTATGTCCAAAGTCTGATTGGCCTCTAATGCCTTAAATTCTTTCATCATGGCTTCTTTTCAGGCAGGGTGTGAAGCAGCCTGATGATAAAAGTCAGGTTCAGACAGAGATGTAGGTGAAGAGGTGGAGGAAGAAGGAATATATGGGTGAGCAGGAGAGACATCATAACAATGTAGTCTCTAGGTGAGTAGGAGTTACAGTGAGTCTAGAAGATCTCCTCAAGGGAGGAGGTGAAGGAACAGAGGAAGTAGGAGGAAGAACTGATGGTGAATAAGCAGGACTGAGAGGTGAATCCGGGGGAGGAGAAACATGAGGTGGAGGAGGAGAAGGAGTAGTTGCAGGAATGGAAAAAATGTGATCAGAAAAGGGAGAGGATGAAGAAGGAAAGAAACCGGAATGAGAGGAGGTGAATGGAAAGATATGTTCAGCAAAACTCACATCCCTAGAGTACAAAACATATTTGTTACCCAGGTGTAACAATATGTAAGCTTTCTTGCCAAAGGCATAACCCAGAAACACAGAGGGGATGAATCTGGATTGAAATTTGTCTCTAGTAGGAGGAGGAACAGTAGCATAGGCTAAACAACCAAAGGATATGAGATGGCTATAAGTAGGAGGATGATCAAGTAAGACTTCATATGGTGTTTTGTTAGAGAGAATTGTGGAAGGAAATCTGTTTATTAGGTAAGTAGCAGTAAGAACACACTCCCCCTAATACTTGGTAGGCAACTTAGGTTGAAATATAAGGGCTCTAGCAGTTTCTAATAAGTGCTTGTGTTTCCTTTCCACTATGCCATTCTGTTGGGGAGTGTGAGGGCAAGAAGTTTGGTGAGAAATTCCAAGAGATATGAGGTAAGCATCATGAAAATGAGCAGACCCAAGTTCAAAAGCATTATCAGTTCTTATAGTTTGAATTGAAGTATGGAATTGAGTTGATACCATAGCAATGAAAGCATTGATAATAGAAAAGGCATTGCCTTTGCATACAAGGAGATGAGTATAGGTAACCCTACTACAATCATCTACAATGGTCAGGAAATACCTGAAGCCATTGTAGGTGGCAGTATGGTAAGGTCCCAGAGGTCAATATGAACAAGCTGAAAGGGTTTGGTGGATTGTGTGGAGCTGTCAGGAAAGGAAAGTTACTGTTGTCTGGCCATTGGACAGATTGGACAAGTGAAAGACTGTTTAGAAAAAAACTTACTAGTCAAATGAGGAATTGAAATCATTTTCACAAAAGACATATGTCTCATTCTTTGATGCCAAAGAACATCATTTTTATTTATAGAAGTAGCAGTACAATTAGCAGGTAAAACAATAGAAACAGGTACTATGGAGAAGTAGAAAAAACAAATAGTGAAACAGATGGTGAAATAGAAACATTTTGAAAAACATTGGCTGGGGAAGTATCAACTGCGGCAGCAGCACTAAATGGCAATCTCAGAATGTATAAGCCATGCTCAACCTTACCATTTTCCAATGGCCTCCTCGGAGAAAGGCCCTGTAACTAAAAGAAATATCAGTAAGAAGTGCATAGCATTTGAGTTGAGTGAGAAGTTGATGTATAGAAAGTAAGTTGTAATGAAAAGAGGGAACCAACAAAACATTATTTAAAGTAATGTTGGGAGATAAAGAAAGAGAACCAAATAAATTTACTTTTACTTTGTAACCATTTGGCAGAGTAATAAAAGAAGGAGAGAGTAATGGTTGTATGTTATGAAGAAGGTGTTTGTGAGGTATCATATGGTTAGTTGCCCCTGAATCCAAAATCCAAGAATTGAAATTTTCATGGGCGGCATGGCATACAAGATATCCATATAGTCTACTAACAGGGTTATTATGCCAACCTGCAAAGTTGGCATACACTGGAGGATCCTGAGAAGTAGATTGTTGAGCTGAAGAATTCATCTGCATTTGTTGACAGTGACATGAGATGAGCATATTGCTCCTTAGAAAACCCATGTGGCACATCTTCATGTTGAGAGGAACCATAAGTGGATTAAGGCTGGTCTGCAGAATCAACTTGAACACAGGCTGCAGTCCTTTTTCCTTTGGTGAATTTGAAGTCTGGTGGAAAACCATGAAGCTTATAGCATTTATCCACAGTATGTCAAGGCTTCTTGCAATATTTGCGGGACAAGTTGGACTTTTTAGGCTCAAAATTCACCCTTTGATTAAAATTCCTCGTATTATTGGTGGACTGACTAGTGCCAGGATTAGAATGAGAGTTTGCTATGAAGGATGTGGAGTCAGGGGAGAAAGGTTGTGACCCAGAATAAACCTCTCTTTGCTTCTCATCTCTTATCAAGATGGAATAGGCCTTCTCCACATTTGGCATAGGACTCGTCATGAGTATATTTCATTGAGTCCTGAGAGAAACTGAATAAGCTTGTGTGCTTCAGTGATCGCATGCATAGCACCACAAGTACACGGTCTGCCCAAGGAAATTGTGGGCAATTCATCCCAGAAACCTTTGAGTTTGGTATAGCAAGTAGCTATGTCAGAAGACCCTGGAGAGGTTGAGGAAATTGATTGCTGAAGACTATAGTATTGAGAAATGTTGGCAACACCATAACGCTCTACTAAGTTATTCCAAGCTTCTCTAGCAATCTTATAGTAAAGAATTATTTTAGCTGTGTCCTTAGAGAATGAGTTAATTATCCATGCCTTAACCATGTTATTACAGCGTTGCCAATGAGGATATAGTGGAGAATTAGGTGTAGGTTCAGTAAGAGTTCCATCAATGAGTTGAACTTTATTCTTTGCAGATAGTGAAATTAACATTCCTTCCTTCCGATCTCCAAAACCTATACCACCAAATGGTATTGAAACTAACATAGTTCCCGGTGTATCGAAAGGATGGAGATAAAGTGGGTGAAAGACATCAAGGACTGAAGAGGCAGAAGTACCGGATGATTCAGTCGGAGATGAGGTATCATTATTTATAGCCATTGCAACACAACAATATCTACTGGAAAAATGACTAAGTAATCAACACAAAGAACTCGGAAAGTTAGGGTAAGAAAGATATCACCAGAAATGTCGGTTCACGGCGACGGAAAACCCTAAATTTGAGCTAAACTTCACGGCGTGATAGTTGTCCAATTACCCGACGAACGAAGAAGAAAATTCACCAAAAACCAATTGAAATCAACCTCTGGTTGAGAAATCCTAACCAAATACCTCAATCGATCAAAACGAAAATTCTAATGGCTTCGTCTGATCAAAGAAAAACACAAAATTGTTGAAATTTCTCCGGTGAAAACTCAGATAATGGAAAAAACTACCAGGACTCGCTCTGATACCATGTGAATTTGAAGATAATCGAAGAGAATTTGGGTTTCCATTCTGTGGAAAACCTAAGTCGATGTAAACGAGAGAAGAAACCAGAAATGAAAAATATCTATGTATTTAAATATAATCGTTCAACTGTACAAATTAGCCTATCAACATCTATATATACTAAAAAGAATAATGAATGGAAATATAATGTAAAGTGGCTATCTATACAATAAATTTACAAGGCACATGTTAGTAGTATCAGACTAGTGGGCTTGGATCTATTTCTGTTTGGCCTGGAGTACTTGGGTCATCTATTCTAACAATAATTAAACGGAAAAGGACCAAATATATCCCTGTACTATCAAAAAAAGGTTTAAACGTACCCTTTGTTATACTTTAAGTCCATATATATCCCTGTCGTTATACTATTGGATGTCCATCTTGGACAAACCTAACAGAAGAATGGTATATTTGAACCAATAGTATTACGACAGGGGTATATTTAGACCCAAAGTATAACGAAGAGTATATTTAAACCTTTTCTCATAGTACAAGTATATATTTGACCCTTTAAGGATAATTAAATCACTCTTATCATATAGCTTTTGGCCATAATGTGGGATTTTCTCCCTCGTGATATAGATATCAATGTCTGTATGGTTCATGGAATACGTTGCTAGAGTTTCACTTAACATATTTTCTATCAATTTAACTTTGTTATTTTTGTCTTCAATCGTGAACTATGCAGTGCTTCTCACGTGGGATGCTAGCTATTTTCAAAAGAGACAAGGGACTTGGTGTGCGAGTTGTGGGATAATGTGTTCGAAAATGGATCTTATTCACTATCTTTGATTCTTGGCTTATGAAAGTTCTGACATTTTGCAACTTGAGAAACCTCGAGCAATAAATAAATCTACACGTACAATAATATATTATTTAATTGGGTCTTGGGAGAACAAAAAGAAGTACCATAATACTGTGCTAAATTGCAAGTCAAGCAAGTTGAGATTCCATTTCCATTAAACAACAACAACGAGAAATTCAATAAAATCTCACAAGTGGAGTTTGAGGAGAGTAGTGTATAGACAGACCTTACCCGTACTTTGTGAAGGTAGAGAGTTTATTTCAGATAGACCCTCAACATAAGGAAAGGTGCATCAGATGTGAGCACAAAATCAAGAACAAAAGGTGGCATCAAAGGACAATAAATAATTCTCCAATGCCTTGACAGGATGTGAACACAAAATCAAAAAAGGGATGTATAAAATTAACTATTGACATAAATACAAGAAACTTGAGACAGGAAAAATCAAGAAATGCAAATATACACATGTTTTGTTTTAATTTTTGTTCCTTTTTGCTTCCAACTTTGTAGCTTGTTTAAGTGCTTCTTGGGCATCATTCTCCATGCCAAGGCTAAAAAGGGCAACAGACTGAAGGTAAAATGCAGTTGGCCACTCAGGAGATATAACCTGAGCTTGCATTGCATCCCCTAGAGCCTCTTGTGCCATGTCGCTCATTAGATAACACAAGCATCGCCTGGCGTATATGGTTGGTGACACCATGGTCCCTCCATCGTTGAACTAATAAAACAAAAATAGTAATTATAGAAGCCCACAACAAATTGTGTAGAGGTCTGGGGAATAATGGAAGAAATAATGAGTACAAATAGCTCGAATAATTTAGGTGGTAAGAAGTAATCCGTGTTTTGAGAGTCAGTATTTTATTTTGAGCTTTTTCAGACAATTGAGAGGATATTAGCTAAGTCTTTTGATAAATGTTTACCTACGAAAGAAGAAACTGATAAATAATGTTGAAGGTAGACATGAATCATTAAGATAATGAGCAATTTTAGACGGCAGACCTGTGTATAGCACTCAATGGCAGTTATAGAATCCTTGGCTCGGAAAGCAGCATCTCCTTGCTGCTTAGAGTTCAAGGTTTCCTGCATCTGATTTGTCCACATTTGGAAAGAAAGCTGCAAACATACCAATAATCAACTTAGATAGAATCCCCAGATAACTGAATGAGTATTACACAAAGAAATACTGAAAGAAGAACAACATGTCTCTCAATTATTATGCCAAAACTAGCACAACGATAAGTTCATCTTCTCCCTAATAACATAAATTATAGTTCATGATGTTCATACGCTCTATTATGCCCCTTCGCATCATGCATTTGGAAGATTCGGTGTTCAAATAAACACCAAGTCATTATATGCACATTTGGCTAGCAAAGTATATTTGTCAGAAGTTGCAATATCTGGCCTGCAATGATAGCAATTAAGACAACTGCTATTACAGTATTCAAGCAAAGCACGTTATTCATTTGGGACACCCAAAATTAAACATACAAGGGTGGGGTGGGGGGGGGGGCCTATGAACCTTCAGGATCCCAATTTATTCACTGTAGTGATAAAACAAGATTAAGTACATGGATCATGAGACGAATACTTTGGCAAGCAAGCAGCTTCCATTATCTTAATTTTTGAGAAACAAGAGGGACAATGTACAATTGGCAATTCCTTCATCATCAATAAATAGTGAAGGGACAAACCTCATTGGCAATTCCTTCATCATCCTTGTACCCTGTCTTTTGCAATATCTCATGAAGGGCAGTAAGATCTATTCTCAAACATGCTTCCCCTGTTGTTGTCAACAGCAATGGTTGGGGTGGGGTTGCAGTTCCATGTCTAATGCCCAGTAAAACATGTGATGGCACCTGACATTACATCATCAGGAACTATGAGCCTCACGCATTATTAATAATAACATGAATAATTTTCTTTTGATATAGTTCCCCCCCCCCCCCCCTTCCCCCAAAGCCCTCTCAAACCTTATCAGGGGCCAAGAGGCTTTTCAAGCTAACCGTGAGCTTTACGGTTGGAGGTGGAGAATCCTTTCTACTAGGCCATAACTCTCTTATCGTCCGTAAGCATTATTTGAAAATTAAATTAAAGGAAAAAAACTAGTGGAGTAATTCCGAGGCATATGTTTGCAGATTAAATAAACTTGCTCACATCCCATGAGGCAAAAGATTGCGGTTAATGTCACTCCACAACCATGATTTCGCTATCAAGTTCCACGAATAATTGGCGACGTAAATTAAGGTTCACAGTAGACACTTCAATACTATAGTGGGAATCAACCTTACTGTGGTGAGAATGTATAATATATGCTCACTTCAATCACGTAAATGAAAGAAGGTTGCAATGCTTCAAATGTTGGAACGATATCAAAGCAAGTCAAGGGGAATACAGTGACTGTCATTTGGTCGTACCTCTGTTTCTTTCTGAATAGTTATGAGAGAATTAACCAGAGATTTTGCATTTGGCCTCTCACGTGCTTCATACTGTAAACAACGGGTGGCTAACCGCACAAGCTCGGTTCCGTCGTCATTAGAAATATGACCCTCCAAACAAGAATCCATTAGTGTCGAGAAATTCTTCACCCGAATTAGATCAAGTGCCTACAGGAAGGTAAAGGAAACAGTAACATCTTAGATTTAGGTACTCAAACAATAGGGTCAATAGCGTTCACTAAAACATGGATTTCACACTAAGAGTTGATGATTTTCCATAAAAAGGTTCCAACGATCTTCAAACTTACATGGCTCGGAGGTATGTGTTTTCCACTCAAAAGATCTAACAACATTGTTCCGAAACTGTAAACTACACTTTCAGCTGTCACTCTTCCTGCCAATCATAAAAACTCTTATCTCAGCTCTGGCTTTAGTTGAATAAGGTAGGATTCTGCAATATGGTACTAAAGGAATGCCTCACAGCATAAATTCATAGATTAATTAAGCAGCTGCCTCTCAAAGCTAGGTTTTTGCAGCAAATAACTAAAAGAACACTAAACTGAGAAAACGATAAAGAGAGACATTCGACCTGTTCTCATGTACTCTGGAGGAGTGAAAGCCAAGTTTGTACTATAACTTTTTCCATCTCTACTGTTCTTCATCAGGCCAAAGCAAGAGAGCCTAGGATCACCATCCTGGAGAAAGTAAACAAAATTAGAAGGCCACACAAATAGGATTAACAAACATAAGGTTAAAACAAATTTTACCTGATCAAATAAGATTCTGTAAGCATTAAGATCATGATATATTGCTCGACCCTTACTGCAGCAGTATTCCAAAGCTTGAGCTAAGTAAAAAGCGACCCTCAACCTCATCGCCCATTTCATAGGTTCGCTCTCCCCTATTGCATTTCATGGCAAATCAAATATCAGCATTTTCCCTCAAAAACTAATTCATTAGCCTTGTCAAGATATATTACAGCTCAGAATGCAGCCACCAAAGAAGAATATCAATCAATCTACTCTTTGAGAACAAAATTCTTTGAGTCTGTTAACCCTTAGACTTCTAAATTATGAAATTCTATATGCTAGACTGCATCAAGTCATCAACTTCAAGGAGTAATAAGATGATGCTCCTAGATTCTACAACTCTGTTATAAAAGATTTAGGTATTACTATAAAAATCAAGACTTTCGGGAAAAACTCACAGTGAAATAAATGTTTTGCTAGGGTATCATTTGGCATGAACTCTGCTACGAGCAACCTTTGATCCCCTTCGCAGCAACATCCAAGTAGATTTGCCAGTCTCTCACTTCTCAGATTCCCCACCGCCTTAGCCTCATCCTAATTATGCAATCAGTGTCCAAAACAGAATTCAAGATGTTGTGGTATGAAGCCATTATATACATAAAATAGATAAGTAATGTACTCTATCTGAGCTTTTAGATAAGCAACAAGATATACTGAAACTAAGGTCTAAGTTCGCATCTCATTGCCACCCATCAACAACAAATATTTCTACGAGCTAGTCCAAGAAAAAGAATCAAGTCCATTAAATAAACAAATGTTTCCCCTCTATGGCTCTATGTGATTACACATAATTCAACAGAAGTAATAGTGTTTAATCAAAAGCTAACCAAGAACTGGCGAGAATCAGGCCAAGCAGACCTATTGAAGCGTTTAACAGCAATACAGTGACCATTCTGGAGCAGGCCTTTATAAACAACATTTGGGGCTTTCTCACCATGCTCAGACACTATATTATCCGCAGAAAATCCATCAGTTGCAATCATCAGCACGTCTAGACTAAATTCAGTAAAACTCGGTAACGCGTTTTTCTCATTTTCCCCTCCATTCTCTGCACAAATCAAAATACAAAACACCATCAACCTATTGACAGAGTCACATAAAAGCACAATACAGATATGTGAAAGAAAATAAATACCCAGATCAGAAAGATCGTGCAGAGATGGCTTGAGCTGGGAATGGCCGCAGCAGAAAAGGAATTTGGAACAGGGAACACCCATTAGACAGTGCAATATGAAAACAGCAAATTCTATGAGATTTCTTGAACAAAAAACTTTAGACCCTCTTCAAGCATTAGCAGAACACAAGGGGGGGAAATGTAGACAGAAAAAAAAAATGTCTTTTTTTCTTGTATATAGTAGCTCTTTCTTGGGGACAAAGATAATTACTATGTGGGTATACAAAGAAAAGATATTTTGTTTAGCTATGCAAATTCTGTTTGTTTGGTCCTTTGTATATATGGTTGAATGATGAAGAAGCAGTGATTTTCATGCGTCTAAATTTTCAGAGGAAGACGTGTTTGTGCTTTTGTAAAAGAGAATGACCTTTTCTAGATTTATAAATGTAATCACTTTCTCAACGTGTCTGCTTTTTTGGTCTAACTTTTCTGCTTTTTAGCTGCGTTTCAACTTCCTCATCATTCCTCTTTTGTGCTTCTACTGTTCCACTCTTTGATTTCTCTTCCAACTCCCTTTCCCAAAAGAAATTTACTAGCACCGCGCTTTAATTAAAACAATACTCGCACTCTTTGATAACTTTATTTTATTAGGTGCTTTTCAACTTAAATTATTATGTTTAATATAAGCATCGAGTATAACTAAATTCATTCCTCTAGTGATCACATGGAAATTGAGTTTTATGAATTCGAATTCTAAATTCTATCATAACTCGTTTTGATTTATTGGATTTAAATTAACTACTTACACATTTTTTTTTTTGAAAAAATACTAGCATGTATACTGGTCGTGATCGACCCATTAAGGTGAAGAAACCTTTTATCATTTCACTACATCTTTTGGTGGTGGCAGAGACGGCCCAAGAAGATTAGTAGCCTAAAGTCAATTTTTAATCTGGGACCTATCAGAAGGAAAAAAAAAATTCATTTATATTTTTAATGAAAGTCTATTTTTCTATCTTTTTAAGATGTAAAGTTGTTAATAGTTTCTTTTATAAATAATTTAATCTCTCCTAAGATATTGTTGATCTTAGATAATTGAACCAGATTCAAGAAGTTTATAACTTAATATCAAAATACATTTTGATGTTCTAATATACTTGTTGAAATGCTTGAAACTTGAGAGGGAAAAAAGGAAAAAAAAAATGCGCAATATAGTTTTATTCAACGGTACTCTTCAACTCTTGTTTTTTATAGAAAAAATAAAACTCTTTTTTTTTCTACAGAGAACAGTATAACTTATCGAGAACTTAAGTTTTTTTGTAGAAAGCAAGAAGAGAATATAAGAATGTAGTATCCGTTTTCTGATGAGAAAGATAAAAAATAAGACTTGGACTATTGAAGATACAAAAAAAAAACGGATTCTGAAAGTTTATTGCAGGTTTTTAGTGAGAAATGTAAAAGGAGAATAATAATATAGGTACCTCACTAATGATGTCAATCGTCAAATTTAAATAATGAAAAGTTTTATATTCACGACGACGATTTAGGGGGGGAGTGATTCTCTTTCTCCAATTTTTGCTTAAACGGTTACATCAATACTAAATTAAAAGTTATATTTACTTTTTATAAAATATTTTATTTTTTTAAATTTTAACATACCCAATATATTTAGACCCTTCCCGCTAAAGATTGTTGTGAGATGTATATGATCCAACTTACCTTATATTGGGTTCGAGTCATGTGGTTGAAATAAATCCTGTTAAAACGTGTTCTCTCTTTTGCTAGGCCTTATGCAATACGAATCTAGATTAGTCGGGGGCTCAATATAAATACGAGTAGAAAACAAAAAGAAAAATTTAGTGCCTTCAAAATTTGGGGGCTTAAAGCCTTTGCTTTAGTGGCTTGACCCTTGGGCCGCCCCTGGGTGGTGGTGCGTCGTAATGTATTGAAGTTATCACTCTACGAGATAAATTAAGGAATTTATATGAAATATTTCCTATTAACTCTATTTAAAGAAGAAACAAGGAACTTGGGTCACGGAATGTCATTGTGAATTGGAATCTAATTAAGGCTATCTATTTGCGGAGATTAATGAAGATGTCATACTTCGTATCGGAGCAGGGTGGATGAAATAGAGGCTCGCTTCCGACGTTTTATGCGATAAGAATGTACCGTTGAGACTTAAAAGTAAGTTCTACAAGGTAGTGGTTAGACCTACTATGTTGTATGGGGCAGAGTGATTGCCAGTTAAGAACTCCCATGTCCAGCAGATGAAAGTAGCTGAAATGAGGATGTTGAGATAGATGTGTGGACATACTAGGTTAGATAGAATTAGGAATGAAGTTATTCGGTATAAGGTAGGAGTGACCCCTGTGGAGGAAAAGATGCGAGAGGCGAGGCTAAGATGGTTCGAGCATGTTAAAAGGAGAAGCACAGATGCCCCAATCAGGAGGTGTGAAAGGTTGACCTTGGGGGGTAAGAGGAAGGGTAGAGGTAGGCCAACGAGGAAGAGGTGATCAGGCGGGACATGGCACAGCTTGAGCTAACTGAGGACATGACCCTTGATAGGAGTGTGTGGAGGTTGAGGATTAGGATAGAAGGTCAGTAGGTAGTCGAGTATTTCCCTTTGTCTTCCTTCGTTCAATATTATTAGTGTTAGTATGGTACCCCCTTATATCTTTAGTTTGCTATTACCGCATATCTTGTACTGCTATTACTTGCCATCAGTACTCCTTAGTTTGCTATCACTACATATCTTGTATTGTTATTGCTTGCCTTCGGTACTCCCTAGTTTGCTCTTTTGCTATCTTGGATTTAGTTTTCTAAATATCTTGCTTTGCTATTACTTGTTATTAATGCTTCTTCCATCTTTTTTTTAGCCGAGGATTTATCGAAAATAGTTTTTCTGCCCTTCTAGGGTAGGGGTAAGACTACGTATATCTTACCCTTCCCAGACCTCACATGCGAGATTACACAGGGTTGTTGTTGTATTTTCCTCTTTAATAGAACCTATTCATTTTTGTTGAGTAGTTCTCTTTTAGTCTCACTGTTAGATTTTGTCTTTTGCATTCACCTTCATCTTCACTATGATGTGTTTTGACAGGTATCTTCTCTTTTTATATTATACATCAACATCCTTGTAAATTTGCTAGAAGTTTAAACTTTTAGAACTTAGAATTGAATCTAAAAAGTGAAACATTGTCTTTGACATACGATTTTACTCAATGACTCTAGTAATGTTGTTGAGTAAACTTGAATTGGTTTTAACTAAAACTCAAAAAGATGCTTCTAATAATTTATTCGTTTTGACAGGAATAAAGCATATTTTCTCTTTTTGGCCAACGTTTTTCAGGTTAGTAACTGAAAGATCTGAAATTATATAGTAGTATTATTAGATCTTCTAGTTTGCCTTTAGTAGTATTATTATTGTGATGCAAGTGTTATTGAATATACCTTTTTATAGTTAATCCATTTTAAAACATAAAATTGAAAGGGAAACAAAACTTTTCAATTTTCCAAATGTAAAATAAATAAATGAAAGTATGAGATAGTGGGCTATAAAATTGTAAGAAATAGGATGTGAAGGAACACTGCTCCATTCTTCAAAAGAAACAAAACATCACAATAACATAGTAACACCAGAATAATAAGGACAAGAAGCGTCGATTAATGATGTACACTTCAATAAAAGTACCTTTCAAAGGATTAAAGTAGAAAAATGGATTTGGTTTGACAAATGAAATCTTCCTTTCGCATTTTTACGAAGTATCACCAATTAAGACTAGGTCAATATTAATTACTTTTAGCCCAACGGATAACTTTATATCTTCCACTATATCACAAAAAAAATACAATTACTCCTTGACTTGAAATGGTGACTTGACCTAGTAAAAAATATTGGAGGAAGAGGCCGAGATTGGAGCTGGAAAATCCAATTTCCAGAATGTTGAATAATTGATCTAAAGGTGTTGGCATTACTGAATCTTGGACTGCTTCAACTGCCAGACACCCAAATTTTTGCGCTATTCTTTATTTATTTATATATGATATCTTTCTCTCCTTGTACTTTTGTCTCCTTCCTTTTCTCCTCTATGTCTTTTTCTTCTTCTTCTTCTTCTTTTTTTTTACATTATATGCGCATAAATTGGATCGGATTGAAGGCACTATAAGCGCAATAATATATGTATCACAGATTCAAGTTGTGAAAACAGTTTGTTGCATACATGTAAGTTAAAGCTATATATAATAGATCTAATATGGTCCAACCAAATTTCTGCACAGAGAAATTAAAAAATAGCCAGATTTACAAGTGGTCATTCAAAAATAGCCACAGTTTCAAAAGTCATCGAAATTTAGCCAATTTTCATGTAAAGATAAATCTGAACGAAAACATTGTTCAAATTCCGAAAAATATTCCAGCATAATATACTGGAGTTTGGAGTTCCAGTATACTTTGCTGGAACTCCAATATATTATACTGGAGTTCCAGCAAAGTATACTGGAACTCCAGTATATTATATTGGAGCTAGCAAAGTATACCGCTCCAGTATAATATGCTGGAAGTTCATACATAAGTGCACCGAGCTCAAGTATATTATGCTGGATCGGTCTTTGTTGCAGCAAAATAGTGGCTACTTTTCAATGACTTAGCAAATACTGACTATTTTTGAATGACGTTTTTGCTAGCCCTTTTAACTAATGAAAGCTTAGTGACCTTGATAATCAACACCACTTAACTTCATACTATCTCCTAAGGAAACAAAGTAGGGCCATTCTGTTATTCCACTTATAATATGTACCACGACAAAGTTGTCAAGAGGACCCTCAATTCCCAAGTCGTTGTTTTAAGTTTCAACCCCACTCCTACAGTATCTGATCAAGATGGACTCAAAAACACAGTAAGAACATCGGTCGTTAGACAGACAGACATACCCTAATCATGACAAATCATTCTCAAAATCTCACTCATATCAGACACCAAAAGCAGCTGTTGACAGGCTATTGCTATTGGTTATTGCCCCCTTTGAGAAAAATCTATCCAGAATAAAGGAATAATAAAAAGGAAAAAAAAACAAGAAATAGAATAAAAGGATATAAAATCAAGCTTACAGAACCTTTGCTCATTAAAATCATATAAGTGAATGTGATGTGTTTCTTAATAGGCCATCATCTATCTATGCTGAGCTGATGTGCTACCTTACCATAATTCACACATGATACAAAATAAAATAAGTTTTATGCACACATTTTAAGGCACAAAATAAAATAAGTTGCATGCAGGTGGAATGCAATTTGTGCCTTTTGACCATTGGAAACAAATAATTGCTTGTTACGTCACCGCTAGCTTCATTATGATGTTCACTCGATAATGGGGTATAAAAAGGAAGGAGAAAAGGGTTATTGCGTATTTAGTGGGCGTTTGGACATAAGAATTGTCAAATTCCAAAATATGGTGAAAATTTTTTTCAAGTGAAAATAGCATTTGAAATTTAGAGTTGTGTTTGGACATGAATATAATTTTGGGTTATTATTGAAGTTTTGTGAGTGATTTGAGTGAAAATTTTGAAAAACAGTTTTTTGGAGTTTTTCAAATTTTCGAAAATTTCCAAAATGTATCTTTAAGTGAAAATTGAAAATTTTATGAGCAAACGTTGATTTTCGAAAAAAGAGAATTTTCTTTGGAAAAAAGGGATTTTTTTTTTTTGTCCAAACGGGATTCTTAGTCTCTGCCTTTTGGGAACTATTTACTTTTTGTAGACTGTTGAACATAATGATATACGAATACTTGGTTCAAAAACTTTCTATAATATGGGTGTTCAGTTCATTTCACTACCCAAAAGGTACCATCGCCATATACTGTTTAATCTTGGGAATTATCGGGGTTAGGCCAGGTACTTACCAGCACATGAAGTTTGTTTTCTTTATATCGAGACAAACCAAGTATTCGTATATCATTAGATCATTTCCCAAGAAATTCCCAAGATCAATTGGTGCTGGTCTATATACAAATGGATTTGAGAAATATTCATTACAATCACAACTTGGTGCTACATTATTCTCTTTATGCATTCCTAGTTTTACTTCAGGAAAGCCATCTACACTCAACTTTCACAACACCACATGGAAAACTGGCGAGTTATTAATTTCACGTACTGACGTACACGTTACTCAATATAACAATAAAGTCACTAAACTTTACCCATTATAACAGTGTATTCATAAACAGAACTAGAATTTTGAGTTTATTTGGTTCTTGATTCTAATAAAGACAACTTACTAGGTTTTCGATATTGTTTATATATATTAAGTGATTTTTTAATTCAAATATAAAATTTTGTGATACTAAAGCAAGTTATAAATTCACTAAAGTTTATCCATTATAGCAGTAGATCCACCTAAATTTTGAGTAGATTTTGTCTTATAATAATTTAATTGTGACTTTACTGATATAATAGATAAATTTTTTCTCTTCAAAGTTAAGATATATTGAGTTTATTTGGTTCTTGATTCTAAGTAGGGGTGGCAATTTGAGCCCAAACCCATCTAACCTGCTCAACTAGCCCAGAGATTAATGGGTTGGGCTACAAACATTTTAGCTCATGGGTCAATTTGGGTTGAACCCAAGTTAACTTATTATTTTTTATAGCCCATTCTGACCCATTTAACAGCCCAAATATAACCCATGAAACTCACTCAAAACAAAGGATCTCAACCCAACTTACCTAGAATTTACTTAGATGCCCCAATTTTTTATTTTTTTTTTGTATTTTTAATTTTCTGTTCTATTATTTTTCTACCCCACCCACCCCCAACCCTACCCCTCTTCCCCCCCCCCCCCAAAACCCGGGAAAAAAACTTTTACCTATTTTTTTTACGTAATTTCAATTTTCTGTTTTTTTAGTTTTCTGCACCATCCACCCTAACCCCTACCCTCCCACCCCCGGGCGCAAACCCCGTCAAAAAAAAAATTACTTTTATTTTTAATTTTAATTTTCTGTTTTTTATTTTTCTGCACCACCCACCCACCTAACCCCTACCCTCCCATCCCCGGCGCATACCCCGTCAAAAAAAAAAATTTAACTTTTTTTTTTGTATATTCAATTTTTTATTTTTCTGTACCGCCCACCATACATTCCCCTTTTCCCCCCCGCGAGCAAAACCAACTCTATTTTTTTCTGTTTTACTTTTTTTTATAATTTTAATTTTCTATTTTATGTTTTATATTTTTTCGTTTTTCTGCACCATCCACCCATCCCCAATACCCCCCCCCCCCCCCAACTCCAACCCCACCCGAAAAATATTTGTCAACTTACATATTTTAAGGTAAAAGGTTTTTTTTATGCAATATGAGCATGGTTCTAAAATATGGGTCAAGTTGGGCGGGTTGGGTTATGACCCATTGTTTAGCCCATCTTGACTCAGCCCATCTTAACCCAAATATACTTTGGGCTGGGTTGGGCAATGACCCATTTATTGACCTAACCCATCTTGACCAACCCAAATTCAGCCCAACCCGCCCATTTGCCACCCCTAATTCTAAGAAGGCAACTTACTGGATTTTGGATATTATTTAAAATAACAGTAAGTAATTTTTTAATACAAATATAAAAGTGTGAGATATTAAAGCAAGTTGACAAAGACACTAAAGTTTATCCATTATAGGAGTAGATTCACCTTAATTTTGAGCAGATTTTGTCTTATAGTAGGTAAAATTTAATTGTGACTGTACTGATACTATTTTTTTTTTTTTCAAAAATAAAATTTACCGACTATATGTGAAATTAACTTGACAACAGGTATAAGGACAACACTGATGAGGAACAATATTAATCCTTCATTTTACTATTTACGAGACTTGGAGAAAATTACGATTAACGATAGAGAAGTTCCTATTGATCCTGCACGTTGGAATTTGGGTGCAGATAAAAATGGTGGAATGTTTGTAGATACAGGAACATCTATTTCACAATTTCCTGCTGATGTTTATGTCCAATTTAGGTATATATTTAGGTCTGAAGTTAAAGGTATGATATTGGATGAAAATCCACCAGAACCATTTGATACTTGTTATTTGGCAGATAATAATATTAATTGGGCCAATTTTCCAGTTGTTAGGTTTTATTTTAAATTCAATATAATACCTCTTGAAGCGAGACAACAACAAGTGATGATATTGTATCGTAAAAAATACTGCATGGGTCTTCGTAGTTCGAGTCATAATTTTTCTGTAATGGGTGCCAATGTATTACAGACTTTTGGGTTGACTTTTGATATTGATGCATGGTGGTTGACATTTTCACCAGATGCTTGTGAATGAAAAATATAAAAGGTTATTATATTATTGTTATGTGCCAATTCGTTATTGGATGACAGTAGTAAAAATAGCACGATATAGCCATTTTTCGGATTGGTTATTCAAAAATGACCAGCGTTTACCAAGTCAATAAAAAATAGCCACTATTTTGCTGCAACAGAGACCGGTCCAACATAATATACTGGAGTTCGGTGCACTTGTGTATGAACTCCAGCATATTATGCTGGACCGGTATACTTTACTGGCTCCAGTATAATATGTTGGAGACTGGAGCACTGGTGCTATGAACTCCGGCATATTATGCTGGACCGGTATACTTGCTGGAACTCCAGTATATTATGCTGGAGTTCTAGTGTACTTATACTGGAACTCCATCATATTATGTTGGAGTTCCAGCATACTTATCCTGGAACTCCAGTATAATATGCTGGAGTTCAAGCAGTGGCGGACCCAGGATTTTGTGCAAGCGGGTTCAATCTTAGAAGTATATAACTTTAGTCGTAAAATAGTAGTTCTCAAGTGGGTTCAAATAAATATTTATACAAAATTTACACAGTTTTAATCCTAATTTATACATATACACAGTATTATTTATTGGTGAAGCGGGTTCAGTTGAACCCGCTAGCCACCACTTGGGTCCGCCACTGAGTTCAAGTATACTTATGCTGAACTCCAGCATAATATACTGGCGTATTTTCCGAGTTTTGAACAGTGTTTTCGCTCATATTTATCTTTACATGAAAAGTGGCTAAATTTCGATTACTTTTGAAACTGGGCTATTTTTGAACGACCAGCTGTAAATCTGGCTATTTTTTAATTTTTCCCTGATAGTATCGTATGTTTATATATATGGCGATGTTTAACTGAACATCGAATTTAAAAAAGAAAGAACGCCTTTATTTCAAAAGAACGAAATATTGTGATTGCATTATTATATTTGTATTTAAATGTGAAATGTGCATATTGTTGGTTGTAATGCGCTAATTAAACTCTTCTTCTTAGTCAATGAATTTTTGAAATATGATAATTTTAGAAGGGAATTAATTAGTTAGTCAACTTTTCCATATATGTGATAGTTTAGAATTTTTGACCTATCAAAGGTGTAATCATTATAAATTTTGAGATCATAAAGGGTGTTATAAATAGAATTTTATTTATGGTGAATGTCTATATTTAGAGAGATTCTAGGGTTCATTACTTGGTGGCTAAGTCACCCTCTCCCTATAAATAGAGGGTTCTATTCCATTGTAAATCATCCCAAAATCAATAAGAATTTTCTCCCTCTACTTTTCTCTGCAATACTCTTCTTCTTCTTTTATTGTTTCATAACACGTTATCAGTACGAGACTCTAACCAATTGAGTAGAAGCTTTGGGATTGAGCATAATGATTGTCAATTATTCCATGAACTTCCTTCATGATTAAATTCTGGATTTAAGGTAAGTATTTTACCGTATTTTTCTCTTTTATTCTATACTTTGATTTTAAATACAAGCAAAGACAACAAAGTTTGATTATAACTCTAATGGAGTTTGTAAGAAATTATAACCATCTGAAGTGGTAAAAATTTCTATGTCTTGCCATGATCAAATTCATGTATGATTATGGACACAAAAAGTGGAAACCCGTCCCATTGAATTTGCTCCATTCTCATTCCTCTAAGAGAATATGATAGCAGTATGTGATAAGTCTGAAAGAAGATAAAATTATCACTATGAATGTATCAATGGATGTGGACGTGGCAATAGACGAAATTATAATCGTCATCATTGTGATAATGAGAATAATAAGGATTCTCAAAATAATCCCCCACTTTGTGAAAATATTTGTCATCGATTTGACATGAGATTTTATAAAGCACATATAGATGATTATGGTCAATTCATGATGTGAATGTGACAACATCTGATTTATGAATACATATTCATTCTTCAAAGAATATGAATGTGCTAGTGGTAGTGAATATACCGCACTCACCTCTAAAAGGAGGTTTGAGATGATATAAGAAATAATGTCATTATTATGGCATGAATGGTCATTGGTCTCGTACCTATTGTACGCCAAAATATTTTGGCATTGTGATTATTAAAAGACAACGGTAATGCAAGAAACAGATCTTGCATATAACTTTCACCATAACCATAATGGTATCCCATATGGGTGTTGATGAATATGTGGCACTATAAAATTAATTGAGAACTCTGCAAGAGCCAATTATACTATTTTGGAGAAACACAATTAATTACCAATAAGGTATTGTGTTGTAGTAAGTCTCAAAGAAACTTATTCAGTTTCCAAAGTATACGCGAAAGCGGTTGATTATATTGAGACTATAAATAAAGGAAAGATTTAATATCTTCCATTACTACAACTTGTAGCGGGGTAATATGTATGTGAAAAGCTACCCGCTTTATTCTCCAATTTGTACTACATAAACAAAAGAATACCACAATGAAGTGGATATTTCTTGATATAAAACCCATATCATAATAAACTTGGAGTTTATTCATAATTGCATACATCATGGTGTAAACCTGAAGTTTATCAATATTGATAATTTATCCAGTTGGCATAATTGGTTTAGCCATGTTAATTCAAGTATGATGTGCAAAAATAAAAGAGAATTCACATGGGTAAATGTTAAAGAACTAGAAAGTTCTCTACGAATTCTCTTACATTGCTTGTTCTCATTAATTAATAGACTAACTAAAATTGGGATCGAATCCCATGAATGCTGGAAATATCAAAGGTGAATATGGGCCCATTCACCTGCCATACATACCACATAAGATGCATCTATGAGATGGTTACATGTGCGCTTATTAATAACCCGCAACATGGTGTTTGCGAGGTAACTTGCTCAATAATTTGATTTAGAGCATAATTTCCAGATTTTTTTATTCAAGATAATTCATCTTGATAAGTTGGTTTACATCACAGTTGGTTTAGAAAAATAATTTATTGAGTGCCTCCACTTAATGGCTAAACGATTGCTTATGAGAATAAAGTTATCTATATCAGTTTGATATACGTTATATTCTCCCCTCACAAGTGGTTCATGATCAGGAACCAAATAATTCCATCTTATTATTATTGATGTGCGGTGTATATTTTGATTAACACCATAACGCACAAAGGTGGATTCTCAAAGTTGAGGTACCAAGTTAGTTTTTCTAACATGAGGGGAGACATGATAAACAGTTGAGAAAAAGTTACATGGAATGAATTATTATTTATACATCTCGATCCTCGAATAAGATAATATGAACTTGAAGTTCATAAATGATAATCCATGTGCAATATATTGCAAAGCATGCCAGACGCATTTGTAAGTCCTAGAAGGACAAAGTCTATGGTACGTTTAAAGCGTATAGACAATCTGTTTCAAATAAACTTCTTGATAAAGAAGATGAGCAAATGATCAAAATGATCATAATAAAGGAGGCAAGTGATCTAGAAGATCACATGACATAACACTTCATAAAATCTCATGAGAGATTCAGGTATCTAAATATATGAATGAAGAGATCTCTATGTTATGTCTTTATGAAAAATAAGGAGGTTGGAACCGATATAAAATATTCGTCGACGACAACTATGTTAGCGCTAAGTATAGATAAGGATCTTAAGTATGTCGAATATGGACACAAAAATACTGGCCAAATGAAAGAGACACAATTCGAATAGAATTTGTTTCATACGAAAGACATATAGTTTTGGACCTTCAGTTCAAACACTTGAAAGTATGAAGCCAATGATATGTGCAATCAGTTTTCGATATCTTATTTGTCTAGCATGACATGAAAACTTGATATGCATCTAATTAAAGTCTATTATATGACTTATATGACAATCCTTGAAGGATTTAAATCGCTTGAAGCATATACAATTCTTGATCTTGAAGTACTACTTTCTCAGTGCAATTTGTGCACAAATGTATCTTTGCTATAACTATAGGCATGATAATATGATACCAAGAGTTTTCACCTCTATGTGAAGATATTGAACTGACGATTCCAACAAGATCATATGAAGACAATTTATCTCTATCAAGAATGATGATTTCAAGGTGCAATATATTCATTCAAGTTAATATGGCTGATTTGTTTATCAAATATCTACCAAAGATCTTTTGAAGATGGTGCACAAGATTGGAATGCAAATGCTTAAGGATGTGAAGTGATGCTCTCATGAGGGGGAGTTAATACGCGTTGTACTCTTTTTTCCTTACAAGGTTTTGTCCCACTGGGTTTTCCTTGCAAGGTTTTTAACGAGGCAACCAAAAGGCGTATTGTTAGATATGTGTACTCTTTTTCCTTCTCTAGAATTTTTTTTCCCATTGGGTTTTCTTTTAGTTAAGGTTTTAACGAGGCACATTATCTGTTGAATAGACATTCAAGGGGGAGTGTTATAAATAGAATTTTATTTATGGTGAATGTCTATATTTAGAGAGATTCTAGGGTTCATTGCTTGGTGGCTAAGTCACCCCCTCCCTATAAATAGAGGGTTCTATTCCATTGTAAATCATCCCAAAATCAATAAGAATTTTCTCCCTCTATTTTTCTATGCAATACTCTTCTTCTTCTTTTATTGTTTTATAACAAAGGGGTATTAATTAATTATTATTACATAGTGGGATGATTGCTTAATAATGAGATTACTATTTTGACTTTTGCCAACAATTTTCTCTCTATTGTCAAAATATAATAAAGTAGTATCCATGCTTGTCGATGGATTAGTTAAAAAATATGTATAATTGACTTGAACAAGACCCTCATCAAACGAATGTAAAAAAAAAGGTATAATTAAACTAATAATTGGGTTACTATAGCTAACGAAAAAAAAAAAGCTTTAGAAAGGGCAAGATAGCCATCTCAATACTTCTTTATCAGTTTTGTGACTGTCATCTTTAGTATCTTTGACAAAAATAAATGTATATAAAAAGGATCAAACGCGTATATTTCTTACAACTGTTGGGTTTTAGTTAAAATTGAGGTGAACGAG